ATTTTATAGATGAGGAAAGTAAGGTACAGAGATGCTGAGGAACTAGCGCAAATTTCAACAGCTAGTAAGTGGCTTGGTTAACCCGTCTCTAAATTGAGGACAAAGAGTAACATTTGCCTCATAGGCTTATTGTGAGGAATAAATAGGAAACTATATGTTAAAAACTTGCAGCAGTGTCTGTAAACAATAGCTATTATTACCAACCCTCTCATTTTATAGAAAAAGAGACTGGGACCTGGAGAGGGGGAAGGGCTCAGTTCATGTCACACAGTAATTTCATGGCAACCTGGCTAGAAGTCCTTCTCTCTTCCTTCCTTCCTTCTTCCTTTTCTTTTCTTTTCTTTGATGAGATGTCGCTCTGTTGTCCAGGCTGGAATGTAGTGGTAAGATTTCAGCTCACTGTAACCTCTGCCTCCCAGATTCAATCAATTTTGCAGCCTCAGCCTCCTGAGTAACTGGAATTACAGGCTTGTGCCACCACGCCTGGCTAATTTTTGTATTTTTAGTAGAGACGGGGTTTCACCATGTAGGCCAGTCTGGTCTTGAACTCCTGACCTCAGATGATCTGCCTGCCTCGACCTCCCAAAGTGCTGGGATTACAGGCCTGAGCCACCGTGCCCTGCAAGAGTATAGTTTGAAAAAAACCATATTTCATAGTACTCATATATGTTTTAAATTTAATTTAGTATTTTTAAAAACTGTAACGAAAATTGGAAACTCGTGACTTGCGTCGGTTTCTTTCCAGGGTTTGTTTATGAAACTTGCCTTCTAGCTCACATTAGAAAAAAAAAAAAAAAACCTTTTCCAGAATACTGTCTACATTAAGTAAACTGAGATGAAATCCTGTTGCCTGGTGGAGCATGTGTTAAAAACCTTACTATCCATTCGGAGGAGCTCTGGGAGAGCTGGGGGAGGAGGAATGAGAAATTGACCCCTTGGGACTCCTCAGGTTTCCTGCTGGAATCTAATTGCCAAGTCCCCACCTTCCTGCAGGGGCGTGGAATCTGTTGACCTGATCCCAGTTAGGTCACGTGTGCCTTCCCCTACGACACACTCACACTCAGTACTGGGCCCAGGGCAGCTGTGGGAGGGGCAGCATCCTAGGCTTAGGCTGGGTCTGTGCCAGTCATTGAGAGAAAGCCTCCCCGACTCCCAGGCTCTACACTGCTGGAAAACTGGAATGGAAGCAGTCGATAGCCATCGGACGAGCTCGCTTGACTTTCTGCCCTCTCTACTCTTGTGTTTATCACAATTTCCTAGACACCTGGGTGTTCTTTTCTTCCAGACATTCATTATTTGGCATCTAATTTCCACAGCCCTTTGGTGCCGGCAGGCATTTGGGTGGTCATTTCTCCTGCTGTTGCTCCTGGCTCCCTGTCCTGCCTAGCCCGGCTCCCATTCCTCCAGCTGTGCAAACAGAGTGGGTCACTCGCTCTGTGTTGGTGCCCCTGAGGACTTCTGGGTGAACCTCAGGATAGGCACTCCTGGGGGTACTGGAAGATGCCCTATCTCCAGCTCTCTGAGAATTCTGTTTTTTTTTTTTTTTTTTT